TTTTATTATACTTCCAGATTAGGGCAGCTATTATAATGAGGTACATTTTTAAAAAAAAACAAGCTTAAAATATAAAATAATATTTCTGATATTCTAAGAAACATATAGAACTTATAAATGAATGTTTTCTACATTCCCTGCCTCCAGTAGCTTCTAACAGTGACTAGACAACACTGCATTATTACATTTTTATTTTCAGTCTGTTTAAATGCCACACAAAGTCAGCCTCTCTACTGGTATAAAACAGTTTTTAAATAATATATTTGTTTACAAATGCTAAATTATAAGGTACTTTTTATTTGTCTTGTTGGATTTTCGATTTAAGGATCAGTTGGGGTGTGACTAATATAGCATTCTTTTCTGGAAGTAGTAAGACTCATTAGTGCTAGAACTTGGTGCCAACTGTAGCAACATTTAAAGCGATTTGTATAACCAAGCTTTCAAAATCCTACATTAAACTGCTCCCTTCTAGTATGATACAGCTTTAGGTCCCATAACTTTTCAAAAATGAAACAGTTTTCTTCAGCATCAAACTTCACTACTCTTCTAAGTGATTCATAGTGTTAGTGGATGAAATAAAATAGCCTTGATCACATTAAGTTAAGGAAATTTGCTCAGTTAAACAAAGGTTAATCTTAATATTTGATTTAGTAAAGTTATATGACTGCCAAAGAAACCTAGAAAACAAACAAACAAAAAAATAAAGTTATATGGCCAGGCATTGTGAGCATTCTTAGTGAGAACTTGTTTCAAGTAAAAACAAAACAAAACAAAAAAATAAGAATAACTTTTTAGAAAAGGCTGGATATATAGCTCAGTGCAAAGTCCCTGGGTTCAGTGTATATATATATATACACACACACACACACACACACACAATACACATATGAAAGATACATATATGAAAGATTAAATCTACCAATTCAAATATTTAGAATTTTTCTACCTTTCATACTAAGTAGGCAGCTACCATAGGTTCACTGTTATCCAGGTTTTTAAACTCCTTGCAAAAAGTTATACAAATGATAAATCAATACAGATATTTAGGCTGAACACAATACTGCTACCACTAAATTTTCTTCTTTTAATTTTTGTTATAATATGATGGACACTGTTCACTGAACACAAAACAGATGAATTCAGCAATGTGAAATCAGTCAGTCTTTATGACTAGAATTAAGATTACTAAAATGTCAATGTGCAAAATATAATTTCCCAGTTAGGTATGGTGGAGCTTGCCTGTAATTCCAGCACTCAGAGGAGTACATAGTGACCCCAAGGCCAGACCGAACTACATAGTAAAACCCTAGCTAAAAAGAAAAGAAAAATGACAATTTCCTACTGAGAAATTTTTTTCTTGAAATATCCTTCTTTTATTCCCTTTCCATGTTTTCAGTTCTTATACTTTTGATGTTGAATTGTCCGAATCACTGTTACAGTCCCTCCTCAACATACCATTTTTCTGCAGTAGTTAAGCATTACATATTCTGATCTTATTGCAGCAACTGTTTTGTGAGCTTTAGATATATCCTAGTTACTTTTCTCTTGTTGCTGAGACAAAACACCAAACACCCAAAGTTAAAGGAGGAAAGATTTACGTAGCTCACAGTGTGTAGAGGTTTCAGTCCATAACTGAGGGGACCCAAGGTGAGTGTCACAACAGTTAGCAGAGGGACAGTAGTTCATGGTAGCAGATGACAGAAAAGCAACAAGAAAGGAGAGAGAGAGACAAACCTCCTTCTGTCTCCTGGATGGTATACAGGATACCTGCCCTAGGGTGGGTATAGCATTCACACCCTTATTCCCAGCATTGGATAATGAATGGATCACAAACTCTAGAAGCCTGCATGAGGCTTTAGGGGGAAATCTAGATGCAAACCATAACAGGATAGAAGTAAAACTGCTTCACCGTGTTTGCCTTACAGCTTCCGGATTCTTCACTGAGACACCACATCCCCTGTGTCAGTGCAACGCCTGTGCTCAGTACTGAGACTCTCACTGACTTCCAGGCACTGTCTACTCATTCTTGCCATTTGGAGGGCAGATGTTTGTAACCACTTAATACTTTTTTTTTTTTTTTTTTTTTTTTGCAGCATTGTAAGTCTTTTCCTGTTTATTTTGTTTCAGTAAGAAAAGACAAAATGGTGATTTTCATTTCACTTCCTGGTTTAAATCCTAGATCATCCCGAAGAACCACAACGTCACACTGTTTTTGGAGTGATCTTTAACAGGAGTCTCACTGTGATTAGTTTTAGTCCCTGATATGTCACTCTGTAATGTGCTAATGGCACAAATCCATAAATACAGAATGTGCTGCTTCCCTGAGTACCTGACTGTTTCGTTGGGGATCCTGGACTGCTCACAGTACTGTCTCCCAGATACTGTCTGAAATGTGCGTACCAAGGAGAATAGTGCCCTCTCACCATAAGAAACACACATACATAACTGGGCATCAGCCTTCTTTTTGACCTCAGTTTGGGCTGAACCCTTGTACACTGTATTCCTTGAGTTTAAGTCTGTAATTTTTCTTGTTTCTGATGAGAAACCAAAATCAGAAGTGAAGGAAAGCAAGTCATATCTAACTTTTTTTTTTTCTCTTTCAGTACTAGAGATAGAACCTAGAGCCTTCACACTAAGCTACATCCCTAGCCCTTAAAAAAATGCCAACTCCTCCCCACTTTTTTTGGTTTTAATTTTGTTACAGGTCCCTGCTAAGTTTCCTGGGCTGGGCTCAGCTCGTAATTCTCCAGCCGTGGCTTCCCATAGTGCTGGAACTGTGGGCATGTACCACCAACCCTGGCTGGGGTTTAAGCATTTTCATGTGATGGTAATCTCTGGAACGCTAAATAGTTAGTGTAATTAGTTTTACACTGACCAATAGAGCTTTGAGGTAGCTATAGAATAAGGAGTCCTAAAAATACAAACAGTTTTCATTCTCCTATCCTAGCAGTTAATCTTTTTTTATAGTCCCAATCAAATTACTATTTCCTAGAACACCACCTAATTCTATTACCTTTCACTAGTATTGATTCTCTTATATAAAAATGATGAATAGTCACAAAATAAGACCATGAACTTTTGTTGCAAAGAAGTGAGGACTGTTATCATAGAGAAATTGATGCTAATAATAGTACTTTGTTCAAAGTTATATGTTTGTTGTACCTTTAATAAAAGATGATAGATTTGACTGTACTTTAAAAAGCAAGAGCCGTGGGCTGAAGTATACCTTAGTGGTAGAGTATTCAACCAGGATGATGAGGCCTGGGGTTCTGCTTTTGGAAATTTAACATCAATTTCCCTTTACAATCAATGTTATTCCCCATTGTATTATCAGAACTTGACCCAATAACTGCCTGTTGGATTGAATTAGCAGTTGTTTGGTAGGAAGTCAGCATATTCAGATACAATTCTCAGCTCTACATCAATTCAGTTGTTCTTACATAGAATTGTTCATAGGCAGAAAGTGAACTAAATTCTATGCTAAGTTCATCTATTTCTAGCTTTAGAAAAAAGATAAATTATAGGGTTTAGGATGCTTAGACAAGTTTTAGTGAGTGACCATGGACAAAACAAATATTTTCCTGATATTTTGGTGTTATTTTCTCTCTTGGACTCTGAGATGTTACAATGCCTCTTAAGATTTCCGTCCTAGGAGGAAAAGTGAACCACTGTGTCTCTCATTTCTCTTAGCTTAGCTGGAGGTCCCAGGGTGTCCTGGCACCCAAAGGGGAAAATCTGCCTTGGTGATAAAGGGAGAAGGCCGGGAGGGAAGTGGGGACTTCTGCGGCCACGATTCATATGTGTAAAAGATTTAGCTTTCCTGGTTCATCAGGTAACACTGTTATAGCTTTACTATGTATGTATTAGAGAGATTAAAACATCAAGAGAGGCTGGTAAAACTATAAAAAATGTCTTGAATAAACCAAACTCAGAACTAATAGCTTAAAAAATTTGGTGATTGGTGATATAATTAACATTATATAAGAGTGATTATTTAATTTACCTCTACAGAGATAAAACCCAACAAAAGGATTCAACCAGGGATTACATCCAAATGTGTCCATACTTTTTGTTTGCTTTTTGTTTGTTTTCCTAAGGAACTCCATTTTATAGGTAGCTAAGATAAATTTGATACAAGGTCTTTTGGAATTTTTTGAGGAAAGGAATCAAAAGTAAATTAAAGATTGGCTCTTTATAGGGAAAAGTTCATTTTTTCCTGGACATTGGTGAAGAAAAATTGTGTGGGATTTAGTGGGAATATTTGTTGTGTGCTTGGACAATACTGATGATTTGATGAGAATTAATGATCCTGTGAACTGCATATACAAAGGGGGAGGGAAGCGTGCTGTAAACTTAATATCAGGTTTTATAGAAATTGCCACTTTTTAATCCTTATAACAGCCCTTGACCATAGAAAATAGTATTCTCAGTTAGCAGACTAAGAAATTGAGGATAAGAGTAGCTATATGTGTTCTCAAAAATCACAATGTTGGTAGCAGGATTGAGATTCATTCCACAGGGTCATCATTATTACTATTATTGTTATTGTTATTATTTACATTTTTTTTGCTGCTCCACGAAAGAGCCCCTCACTGGAAATTTATGATATTACTGTTAGTACTACTTATAAGACACCCATTTATTACGTGCCTGGTACTGTTCTGAGAGCTTTAAGCTATTTAATTATCACAACAGAACTATAAAGAAGTGGTTATTTCTGCTGTATAGGTAAAGAAACTAAGCTTGGAGAATTTAAGTGCCTTCACCCACAGATACAGGGCAGCAAGTGGAAACGTACTCAGCTTTGAGCAGAACCCTGGCTCCAGCCATGCGTGATGCTGTCTCTACTGTGACTCAGGGCACCTGCTGTGCAGGTGGTCTGCTCTGTTCTTGGCAACCAGTTGCACAGCATGTACAACTTCTCTGGGCAGGTGATACCTGTTTGCAAAGTTTCTTGTTTCAGAAATCAATAAAATTCCCCTCTTGCTTTGTTTTTACAGGTATTTACCTTCATTCCTGGACCACTGTCCAAAACTGCTAATGCGAGAGGGATTGATACCAGCTCCGAAGGGCTGAAATTAAAGAGAGAAATTACTAAAACAGAGACCCAGTGCACAGAAGACAGGCATCCTGTAGGTCAATTCTGCTGCCGGCTGTGTCCTCCCGGTAGGTTACACAAAACATCCAGAGTAAAAAGTAGGATAAGAATATTACATACCAACAATAAATACAATGTTTTTACTACGTTTAGTTCTCCTGTGGTATATAATGTTACTAGAAGAAGAAACAGCTATGTGATTATTTTCCAAAGGCCAGTTTACTATCTGTATTACACTTGTTTGATGTGATTATAAGTAAGTATAATTTACAAATGGCATGTACCTCTGAAATGGGAAGGTTTGTATATTTAGCTGTATTTCTCACAAGCGAAAAAAGTGACTCATTCGTGGGTATTAAAGCTTGTTATCTCAAATTTGATTTAGATGTATCAAAATAGTCATGCTCTGAAAGCAGGAGCAGCTACCTTTAAAGGACATGTCTTAGCATCTCCTTCAATCAGATCTTAAGAAAGTCGTTTGTCTTTGCACTGAAGCCTGCAAATGATATTTGCATTTTGCAGCTGTATAACTAAATGAACTAGAAAAGCAATGAACAAAAACTGACACTTTTTAAAATCAGTATTTTGAGATACAAACCAGTTTCACATTAGCAGAATTGAGATTCATACCATATGGTCATTATTATTGTTATTATTACATTTTTTCCTACTCCACAAAACAGCCTTCCACTGGAAATTTCTGATATTACTATTAGCACTACTTATGGAACACCTGTTGATTTTGTATCTGGTACTGTTCAAATACCAGCAAATTAGAAACTAAGACACATTGTACAAACTTTTTTTCCAGTGGAATTTATTGCTGCTGCATAGGATCTAGATCTCTCTCAACTTGTTTGTGAAGACAAGAAGATAAAAGGAAATCACACATAGGTTTATATGATATTTATACAATAGATTAATAGATCCAAACAAAACTTCAGTAAATTTCTTATTGGCTTTCCACGTTTCTAGCACTCTTAAGTGCAAACCAAGCATGGACCATGTATATGAAAATTCTAATAGTGCCCCTTGGCCTCCTGTCTGGATTTTAATAAATGTTATGGAAAAATTCCCCTTATAATATAATCCATTTACACATAAACCCTTTTCCACTTATACTTTTCCATACAGGAATGCAGAAGGGCTTTTTTGCTTTTTTAAAAAATAACTTGCCAAATTGTGCTTGCCCCTATGAATTGAAGTCTTGTTCATGTATTTAAAATCTAAAACATAATTTGCTTGATTTTTAAAAAATCTCTCTGCCTCATTTTCATTTAATAAATGATCTCTGCTATGGTGAATTTACTCATGAAATAAGAACTCTGGTATACCACTGTAAGAATGGAAACAATTGTATATTTTTTTTTCCTTTTTTTTTTTTTTTTTTGTCTTTTTCGTTTTTATCGGTACCAGGGATCGAACTCACGACGGCCTGCTTGCAAGGCAGGCGCTTATGCCGCTGAGCTAAATCCCCAGCCCCTAACAATTGTATATTTTTAAGAAAGAACTTTGGATGTGAGTCAAAACCTTGGTGACATTTATACATACTGAAACCATAATTGATTTATAGGAAAATGCCTAGAGAAAGTTATAAAAAAAGTTGTGTGCATGGCATTTCATTGTGATTGCAAGTAGTGTGGGACTATATAGGTGAATTCTGAATTAATCAAAGGCTGGAAAAGTATGTATCAATCAAAGTTACAGTGTATCAAAGTAGCTTGTGTATTTCTAATGTAATCTTTAATCACTGTTCTTATTTAAGACAGGGTATTGCTGTGTAATTCAGGCTGGTCTTGAACATAATCTGTAGCCCAGACTGACCTTAAACTCATGTTGATCCTTTTGCCTATGCCTCCAAGTGCTGGAATCACAATGTGCACCACCACGCCTGGCTATCATCTTCAATTATGTGAATCCCCTTTAGTGATTTCCAGTTGGTTTGCTGCGTGGAGTGGCTGCTTTTCTCTGATTCCCTAATAATAGCCTGCCTCGCATCCAGTGAAAGATACCCACTACTTTTATTCTTTCGTTAATTTAGGTTTACCAATATTCAGATTAATTCAATCTGTTTATACTTATTGCTGTTGTGATATTAATATGCAACTCAATTAACTATTGGGTAAATCAAAATACAAATGAAAAAAGAAAAGTTTTATTTTCATGGAAAACAAAAGTGAATATTTTAGAGAATTTAAGCCATTCAGACTTGATGTACTTAATCCTTTTTGTAATCTAACTAAAGAAGAAGGGGTAGAAGAAAGGCAAGTCAGGAGGAAGGAAAAGAGACAGATGAACAGGAAATCACAGGTGATATGCTATGAATGCAATTTGTGTAACAAAGCATCTGAAATTCTAATAACTTGATTCCGTGTCATTGATCATATAGTGATTGTTTATTAAAATAAAATGCACTATTTTTAATGATTGTATATATGAATTGAGTTTTTATTACAGAAAAATCATTACCCCATCACTATATTCAGTAAGGATTCTACAGTGTATTGCATGCACTAAATATGTGTGTGTGTGTGTGTGTGTGTATATAGATATATATATATATTCATATGTATACATGTATGTATGTATGTATGCTTATGATAAAATACTAGGAAATAAACATCTCAAAGTATTTGATGTATTTGTATTTTAACATTTTCTTCTCTTCCAAATTTTCTACAGTGAATAGATATTATTATACTCAAGTTATAATATATATTAGAATTTTATTTTTCAAGAAAACATCACTTGTTTTTCATATTTTAATAAATTTGGATTGTACACTTCAGAAAAAAAGAATCTATGCTTTATTGGATCTCTGTCATGCTATGTGTGTTGTGTTAAACATTCTGCAGGGCAGTTCATTAAATAGGTCAGTTCATCTGAAAACCAGTGTAAGAACACTAGCAAGAATTTCTCTTTTGCTGCTTTCTTTAAAATAGTGCTGCCGTGTCATGAGTCTCGGTGCCCTGTGTTTAAATTTGGTTCTGGTTTTCCATGGTTTGTTTATGTTTTTCTATTGATAGATTATTGTCTGTGTTTTCTAAAATAAGATTTACATATACATTTCATAATTTGCTTATGTGGTAAATATATTATCAAAAGAATGCTATTAGGTTATTAAAGTCATATACCTACAAAATACAATAGGCATTTAATAAACTCTTGTTAAATATGTGAATTTTTCAGAAGAAATTCTTTAATGTTTAGTGATAGCACTACCGTGACTTTATTTTTTTAAAAACTCAATTATGAATAGTGTTTAAAACTGGATAATTAAGGTAGCAAATCTAATGTTTATGCAGCCCATCAAAACACACTTTGTTCCCAGATGGAAAAAGAATAGAAGGAAAAGAGACAGAAGAGGGAACTTGGGGCATTCAGCAGGCAGAAGGTGCGCGGTTCCAGGAGCAGTGCGAGAGGGCAGAGCTGGAAGGCCTCCCCGTTGTGTGCCTGACGAGGCTGAGAGAGGCCAAGCACTTTGTTAAAAACGTAATAGCTATAAAGACATGACCAAAGTCATTAAAACATTGAACATTTTCTTTCCTTCAGCTACTCTCATTAGGATTTGTCGACTTTAGAAAATAAAATCAGAAATCCAAGCAAAGTGAATTAGTTGTGTAATTTCAGTAGCTGGTGACAGCCATCTCCACTCTAGATACACACCTTCCAAACTGCCCCTTTCACCAAAGAAGTTTGTTGATTTTTGCTGGTGTATTTGGTCATCTGAAATTCCCTCCATCTTTTAAAAATATGCTCCTATTGTTAGTCATTCTATTTCTTTAGGCAGATTCCTGCACTCTTCAACTTTTTCCTTGGAAGGCATTCTGGCTCTTGATACAATTTTTACAATAACATTCTTCCCAATTGTAGTAATGTTAGCATTAGCCTAACATCCAACCCCCTCCACTCCCAATTTTAAGAGTTTTCTTTTTAAAACCATCCCTGCTAATGTCTCATGTCGTTATATGCCACCTTCCCTTCAAGAACTTCCCCCTTTTTTCTTGGGCAGGCACAAAGAAAGCTGCTGACTGCACATCAGATGAAAATGAAACACACTGTGTGCCCTGCAAAGAAGGGAACGAGTACACAGACAAACAGCATTATTCCTCTCAATGCAGACGATGTACATTTTGTGATGCAGGGCATGGTGAGTATCTTCAAAAGCAATCAAAAGAGACCAATCATCATACTTCACTTAGAACCATGTATAATGCCATTTTAGATTGGACCCTCTGTGGTGCTGGGTTCACAGATAGGAAGGGGCTGGCCACTGCTGGTTGAGGTAATGCAGGACCAGGTCCTGGGCTAACAATCACCTTTAAATACTGGCAGTTCTCCAGAGATGGAAAGTGACTCCCAGTAAGTATCAGCTCTATGAAGAGAGGGCATCAGCTCCAACCCTAAGCACAGAAACTATTCTTTTCCTGCCTCGATTTATGTTTGTATGATGGCAGATAGAGAAATGCAAGATGTGGATAGAGTGAGTATTCTTCTATCTTTGGGGATCTGATTTTTCCTGGTAATTCTATTTGGGAACTTGGATTCTCATGTATTTCTCAACTTATTCTGAAGATTGAGGTTAAAATTAATAGGAATATTCCTACTTTTGTTTGACATTAGAAATCAGTGGACATAAAGCTTTTCTTGTCTTTGTTGGGCTCTGAAGTGAACATCTTCCATCCTGGCTGAGCATTAGAATTGCCCACTAAGCAATTATAATACCAGTATTTAGGTGCCAGATCAGAGCAATTCAGTCAGAATCTTTAAGCGTGGGTTTTGATTTGGTCAGATTAAGTTTATGGTGGGACTTGGTATGCATGTCGCACTACAGTAAGCTGTGGGCAAACCGATGGTTTTGGTATGTGGATTAAATTTTTGAGTAGTGAGACTGTAGACTAGGAGGAACATGTGAGCAGTCTAAGCAGGGGTTAGGGTTATCTTAATTGCTGGATTGCCTGTCCACTTAAAATTCCTCTGAATGACTGTTGGACACTTCAGTTTAGGGATGCCTGTTAAGTACTACTTGTATAGCTAAATGCATGATGATATAACTACTGATAAAAGTGGTCGGTCTCAGATCCTTGTGGTTCTTGGCCATTATTTTCATAGTTTGTTTATAATGAGGTGTTATAAATAATAGTTTTCAAACTGATTTTCTAGGCTTAGAAGTGGAAAGAAACTGTACCCGAACCCAGGATACCAAGTGCAGATGTAAATCGAACTTTTATTGTAGCAGTCCTGTGTGTGAACACTGTGACCCCTGCATCAGGTAAGTCTGAGTCTTTCACTGATGAAAACACTCTGTGTTCCTTGAAAGATACTGTCTTGAGAGAAGCCCCTTTGACTACGAGTTAGGAATAAATGTGTTAGTCTTATTTTTCCTCAAGCAACCGGATGACCATTTGTTCATTCTGACTCTGTTGAGGTTGCTGAGCACTTTTTAGTCATTGAACCGTAATTGAATGTTCTTGACATGTGTCACTGATGTGGACACTGGACACTGATGTGGATGCTAAACTGGCAGTCTGAGCAGGAATCATTTCTATCTTGAAGATCTCAATCTAGAGACAAAGACAGCCAGAAAAGCAGTGGTGATCACATGTCAACACCCTGTGGCAAACAGGAGAAGAAATTTGTGTCCAAGATGTTATGAGCTATACAGGAAACTCTTTCAGCCCTGCCAGAGGAAATGGAAGAGAAGTTTGACACATGGCTTGAGACTTGAGGAAGGAAAGAAATAACATTTCTATCCAGGTACTCTTGGGTGGAAGGACATTTCAGGCAAGGTAACAGTGGTTGCACATGATGGAAATAGAAAGCTCTGTGTGGAACAGGTCACCAACCAGAGAAAGAAAAGACTGAGAAGCACCCAGTGCCAGATCACCACGCTCCTTGTCTTTCATACAAGAAACCTTGGTTTGGGCCCAAAGCTGGAAAACCGACAGTGCCTCTCACTTTTCTCTTGACTCGTGTTGCTTTGAGCAGACCACCTAACCTCTCTGAGCTTCAGTGTCTTTATTCAAAGATGCTGATAATACTGATTTTGCTCTATCTGGCATTTTCTGTAGAGATCAGATTAAGTAATACATGTTATAAAAGTAATTTTTGCTTCATAAGAAATAGTTTGGCATCAACCTAAACGCTTAAGATTACCATTCATTGACTCCCCCTGAAAGTTATAATCCACCTTGGAAAACTTTCAGGAATTCATCTAATAGACTTAAAAAGTAGGTATCTGATGCTTACATCTTATTTGCCACCCTATCCTCTCCCTTCTAGCCACAAATATCTGAGTGTGCCCTCGTGGTGATAGAATAGGTAGGGAGGGGGTAAGGGGCTAACTAGTCAATTAAAAACAAAGTAGCATTTCTAAATACTTTTAAACCTTGATATACTTTTCTTATCATCATAACTCTGAGATAGATACTGTTTTCTGTATATTACTGATGAGATGGAATTTGATGACTTATCCAAACTTAGCCAGTAAATTTGGACAAACTAACTAACATGAGACATGAATAGCAGAGATAGACTTTGGGCTCAGAGAATCTCTGACTGTGAGTGTCTGAAAATTCCACATGAACCTCTTGAGTCTCCCAGTCACTCAGTGCCACAGTAGCACTTGTAGGGTGACTTACTGCCTTTCCTAGCTAGCATCCTGCACACTGGTTGCTGTGTGGCCATTTTAATGTTTTAAAGTTTTTGAAATGGTTCTTAGCACTTTATTGTAAAAGATTGCTTGAACTCCAGTGTTTTAAGAGGTCAGTTTATTACCAGTTTTTACATACATTTTTTTGTCTCTTCCATTTGTACGTGTTTTATCACCTTCCTCTAACTCTTGATATATTAAGTCACTCTTTAAAAAATCTCTTTTATTACAGCATTCAAATTATGCTATTAACTTATAACAGTTTCAGATGCTTGTCTATTCATATTTAAGAGAAAATGTTTACCAGGATGCAAAGATCAGTAAGATGGCCTCTAATTCATAATATGAGGTGATGAATCAATCTATACAGGCTTTCTGAATTTTCTGGGGTTTTTTTCAGGTGCGAGCATGGAATCATTGAGGAATGCACACCCACCAGCAACACCAAATGCAAAGAAGAAAGTAATATTCCTATCCCTCCATCCCCACCATCAAATACAAACAAAAGCCAACTATTTTTGTTTATTTGAAAGTATAATACTTTGTTTAACATTGAAGATTGCCCATTTTCATGTAAGTGTCTAATGTTCTAAGTTACAGGTTCCAGTGCTAACTTGTTGTGGTTGTTGCTGCTACTGCCCTTTGGGGGGCTAGTTCTTGGTGAGTTCTTGGTTTATTCTAATTATGTCTTGAAATGACTTGAGAAGTACTGCATAAAGATTTTTTTCCATCTCCTACTTATAAGAAAGCTAACAGGTAAACAGTTAAGTCTGTTATATTGTTGATTGCTGCCTCTGAATGCACCACTGCCAGCAGATAAGAATTTCTGTGAGCACCAGTTGTGAGGGTTAGGGTGGTAGTTCTGTCCTGCTTATGAACAAAGCTTCTCTGAAGTGTCTGACTTGGCCAAAAAAGAGAAGTGATCTGTTTTTATCCATTAAGATTTCTGCACACATTAAGAGAACACAAAAATCAAAGGCCTTTATGAATTGGATTGTAGAGAGCAGTTGATCAATTTGTCCTTTTGTTGTTCTTCTCTCAACCAAATTCTTTGTCTTTAAAAAAATTATTCCTCTTCCTTAATTTAAAATATGAGTACAGTGTATTGTACGCAAGGTTACTTGGTTACTTTTCTCTCGTCTCTAAGACAGAACACCTGAAGCCAAAAATGAAGGAAAGAAAGGTTCATTTACCTTACAGTTTCTGGAGGTTTCAGTCCATAATCAACTGGTTCCAGGGCAGGGTGGCATGACATTGGGGCAACACTTTAAGGCAGCCAGTGCAAAAACAGCCTTAGAAAAAAGGAGGGAAGGACAAGCCTCTTTTCCTCCCGTATAGTCTATGCAAGCTACACAATCCCCTCACCCCCGAATGGGTGTAGCACTTACAAAATCTCTGTGCCCTCCTCTTGCGCAAAATGAGGATATTTACAAAGTAAGAACCCTGACTCCCTGCTAAGTCTCTCAGTTAAACTTCTCAAGTTGACACAGTATATCAACCATAACACAAAGATTAATTAGTAAATTCAGTGGATAAGCCAAAGGTGGGTATAATCATAGTTAAGTCTGGAAAATGTGTTTTAAAGAATACATAATATACAAGATTTCACCAGCTTTCAGTGACTGAGGAGCATCAGTCTTTTCCTTCTCTGTTGGAACAAGCAACTATTGCTTTATTTTAGGTGAAGAAGTCTTAACTTTAAAGATTGTTTAGCTGAAAGTACACATCTGGTATTTAAACACTACGATTGGACTAAGAAATAGAGTCCTTTTTCATCTCACACTGACTTCAAGGCTTGTACTCACCAAGTGTGTATATTTTAGTTATCGATGGCAGTTGCCTTCAGTTTTCTAGATCCATTGGCTTCCATTCCTGGCTGGAGCTGTGTTACAGTGGGTGTTGTCATGGCCAGACAATAAGTCAAAAAGCCAGCATCATGCTAGGTCAGGTCATGATGAGTGGATGACTCAGTTAAGGTGTGGCTTTGAACATCTGACTCAATGGGATGAGAAAGCACAGTACCAGTAGCCCCTTTAAATTTCAGTGGATGTCTGCTTCCTTCTAATACTCTCTTAGTGTGAAAGAATGTTGTCACATGATGCCTATCAGGAAAAGATTTGATTCTGATAGATATTTCTTTTTATTCTTCCAGGGCTATGTATCTATAAGAAATACTTCAGGAACAACCGTTCTTGCCATGGATATACGTTCCCACGTTCTGTAAGTATTGAAATATGCACCAGCTTTTTTGAAAAAATAAAGTAGTAATTCAGCTTTTTATTTGTTACTTTCTTTGAAGCAGGTGTGTGTGTGTGTGTGTGTGTGTGTGTGTGCATCAGAGATGAGTAATATGTGGTACCTAATTTATAGGTCAACTTTTATACAAATACTGTAAGAAGCAACCAAGGGGGAAGTAGATACATTCTGAAAATCAAGAAGTGGTCCATGTTGCCAGTTAGAGTTATCCCTACAGAGAAAAACCTTTACCAAAGCATAGATTCAGTATCTAAGCCAGGACAAAAAAATTAACTTTTCAAACCTGTCATAAAAAAGTAGTTTGATTCTTTGGGCTAACTGTTGGGCTAGTCTCTTACTATATCTTTTTCTAACATGATCAAGCAATTTCAAATAGCAAAAAGATACACTGGGACACTGAGTAAACTGAATATTGTTCTCACTTGAGGCTGGGTTTAGGGAGAGTCAAGAGTTCTTTACATCAATAGGATAGCAAAAATTCAATGTGGGCCAATGTGGATCATTTTCAAAAATGAAAATAGTTATAGTGAAGAAAAATTCAGAATGATCACGTTTACTGTTTCATAAGTTGATATGAAAAATAATCTTAGCTCATTTCATGAATTCCTTAGGTTCCTCACCTTTGTAAAAAATGAGCCAGTATTGTATAAAATTTCTCAGAGTCAAAATTTGAATGATAAAAGAACCCTTCTTAATCACGTAGTCTAGTTTCTTATTTTTACATATCAAGCAGCCGATTGTGCTTTCTTCAGAATTAAGGATGACTAAAGGATGACATTTGTCGCATTCTAATTGCATTTTTACTTATCTCTCTCTGTCACCCAAACCCCAGGAAACAGAAGGAGAGCCACCGAATTTCTCAGGTAAGGCTTTTAGAATTTTATTTCCTAGAGACAGCTTCTTTTGCAGGAATAGGCCAATTTTAGAGGAAAATTATTTTACTAATTTCAGTGATGTATAGTGGGCCTTGCTCTTACAATTTTGTCTTCACACAACAGTTAGTCAAATATTGCTTTAAATTTATAACAACACATAATTAAAAATAAATTAGATAACAATGGAACACTATATTCTGAGGTTTAAAAAGTTGTCCTTCACAGTTGAGTAGATGTATTACAGAACTCCTGTCTAAGGGACAAAGAGATTAAATGAATTCTAGACACAGTTATTATGCCCTGAACTCTAACAACACTCATGCCTCTGCTTGGTTCTGGTCTTTGACCTGTGATTCAGAGAGGAGGCAGTCATTAACTCTTGCCTGTACTTTTAGATTTGCAGCTCACTGATCATAAACTCTAAAAAACCACTAGAGGTGATCTTTACAATTCTTTTAAAAGTGAGATAGGAAGGTACAGAGATACTATATGCTATGCATAACATAGGTCAGAGAGAAAATTACTGGGGACATACAAAGAATTGGATTTATAACTCATGGTTTTTGGTTTTCCTCAATAAGTTGTTCAGAAGCCTAGGACTTACTTGTATTCTTAAGTATGATAAAGGGAAAAATGAATGTGGATTTCAGGAATGGGAATTTATTTAGAAAGATGAATTTTCAGAGGCTATTTTCTATTTTTCAGATGTTGAGTTTAGTAAACATATACCTAAGATTACGGAAATAATGACAATAAATGAGGTTAGAGAATTTGTTCGAAAGAATGGTGTCCCTGAAGCCAAAATAGATGACATCAAGAATGACAACCAACAAGATACAGGTGAGCAGAAAGTTCAGCTGCTCCGTAGTTGGTATCAATTAAATGGGAAGAAAAATGCATGCCAAATTTTTATTAAAAGCCTCGAAGAAGACAACTTTAAGGCTTACTCACAGAAAGTTCAGGATATCTTCTGGGCGGACGTAAGAAGCAACCAGGAAAATTCAAACTCCACAAGTGAAAATGAAAGGCAAAGCCTGGCCTAGAGTGCAAAACACCGAACTCAGTTTTGATTATAGACTGTCACTAAATACAAAAACTAATGCAAAAAATGTTTTCAATAGCAGAGGGCTGTAAATAGGGCTTGACTTTTTATTGGGTGCATTTTACTTTTCTGTTTATTAGACTTGTAGAGACAATATATTGATTTACAAATTTTGAAGATATTGTAATTCAACCTTAAGAATGTTCCAAATCTAGGTAAGAAGACATACCGAGTCAAGAGTAAATGCAATAGTATGTTAAGTACCCGAGTAGGAGTATATGAAAAGGAAAAGAAAAAGCTTAATATCATGTGCTAACATATAAATCCCACAAAAATGAATATAATTAATGTAGGTTGATACAAATGCCTACCCACAGGGTGATTCCAGTCCATTAATCCACAGAATCTATGACTTTTTCTTGGACTGTCAGTTACTTGAATAGCTACTCTGCGTCTGTATTAACTACCTGACTCCATGGTGAGATTTTACTGTATTTGTAAACCTTGTCTATGGATCAGTCTGAAAGGAACATGTTGAAGCAAAACTTGCATATATATCTATATCATCTATATCTATATCTATCTATCTATCTATCTATCTATCTATCTATATATATATATATTTGGAAGAATAATAAAGTTCTACCTCAAAGATCTATGTATAAATCATTGATAATTTTACTGTGTGACGTCTCAATTTTGAATTTGCATGAAAACTGCAGAAAAATTGCAATGCTTGAATGTTTTCTATTTGTATGCTGTTTTACTTGACAAAATAATTTACCTCTTATTCAGCTGTCATAAGCATTTTGAACAGCAGAGTAATACTACAGCCTTGTTACTTCATTTCTGTTTGGTGTTCATCTTGATAAGTGTAATACACTCTTAAACCTGTAAAGATTGCCAAAGAAATACTTAGTGATCCCATAAAAATCAAGACCTCCCTTAGATTGTGGGCCTGTCTGAGAGACTAAACTTCGCTTAGGAGGTAGTTTTATGATACAACGTGAGCCCCTGTCTACCACCAGTGGTGACAAGCTCTTATTTGGCCTGTAGGCTGAAGAACTTTTCATTAACTTTCCGTGTGTTCACCTGACCACAAATGGCTGCTTGAATTCAGCAAAACGAATATCATCATCAGGGTCTGAGGACTACTGCTGTTACGCTTAAGGCTTAGACAGACTTTCCTGTGCATCACTACTCTGTTGTGTTTTACATTCAGACATTTCTGAAAATTGTATTAAATGTGAATTTAGGGGCTGGGGATTTAGCTCAGTGGCGTAAGCACCTGCCTTGCAAGCAGGCGGTCGTGAGTTCGATCCCTGGTACCAATAAAAATGAAAAAGACAAAAAAAAATATGTGAATTTAGTAAATGATATTTAGACTTATATAAATGTACAGTGAACTGAGGATAGTTATGATATGAAACATGAATTTAGAAATCCCTGAAGAGCTGCCCTTTTTGGAGAATTGTTTTTCATTATGTTTGGAAATGTACAACATAGATTAAAATACGTAATTAAAGCAATGTTTTCAGTATTCTGAGTTACCTGTTTTTTTGATGGTGAGTTGCTTTTTGATTTTCTTTCCCTTTTCTCTGACTATTGCTAAATGTAGCTTGTCATGAATCTTTAAAGTGTTCTTTGATCTCTCAGAAGATAGTTCTTTTTCAAAACCTTTTTAGAACTTAAATAATTATTGTCACAGATTACTAGCAAGAATATTTTAACACAGCACATGATTGCTTATTAGACAGTATCACAGAGGTACTGAAGTATAGATTTAAAAAGTACGTGTTTCAAAGTGTACGGTTTATTGATAAGAAAGCTAATATTAGATGTTAGCTACTTGTTGATTCCTGTATTTCCTCCCTCTCACTTTCTGTCTCTCTCTCTTTCTCTGAAACACTTAAAATATATTTATTTCTTTGTCTTTTATATTGGCAAGAATGTGATTTCCACACAAAAGGGTCACATCCATTGCTTTTACATTAACCTTAAAATTAGTTTAAATTATAAAATTGAATATAATAAATAGAATAGTAACAAGATTTAAGGAATACGTCACTATAACTCATTAGTTATACCAAATAACCAAAGTTGGTTTTGCTGATCAGATATGTTAAATTTAACATAATAAAAATAATTTTCCTGTCAGCACTCCATCTTTCTAAAAAGTTATTTTAATAAATATTTAACCCAATATTTGCAAAATATTAAAATTCCAGTATTTTTATAAAGTCTGTTAGTGAGATAGTGGACATTCTTTTTCTATACCAAGTCTGAGAAATCTAGTTTATATTTTATTTTTATTTACAATCACGTGTTGGTGTGAACTAGCCACATTTCAACAGGTTCAATAGTCAGACCTACTTAGCGGCTCCATATTAGACAGTTCCAGCCTATCTTTGTTAGGGCAGGTTAGAACAAAGGCTTTATTAGAACAGCCTGAGCTCCATGGCTGGTTTTGCTTAGTACTAACGTCTGGCCCTTCGTGGGTTAGGACTCTGGCTGGCTGGACCTGCACCTAGTGTACTTTTCCTAGCTTTAGGAATTGTTCTTCCCTCTCCATAGTTCTTCCCATAGTTCTTCCCTCTCCAGTTGTTCGTTGTTTGGCTCTTACTGCCTCACGTCCACATAGTGTTCGTCCAAAGATCCCAGAGAATTTCTGTGTAGATCTGGAGCTAGTTTTCCCTGTAGCTCCCTTTTTTATCAGCACTGTGTTCTCAAAGTCCAGCAGTTTCAGCCTGCTAAACTTCACTCTCTGCTCTTCATGTTAGCAAGGTAGTTGTGCTTTACTTCGGGGCCTGAGGCTGTGCTGTGGTCTAAAATGGGCCTGTAGGCAGAAAGTCTGAGTGATCCTAGGACCCTTTCCATTAATTTTTCTTTTCTGAAGGGTCAGAGTCTGTGTCACTTCACGCGGTTTTCTTCTTGTTGACAGCAGGACAGCAGGTCCGGCTTCTTCCTAACCCGAGGTGGGCCTCCCGCTCTGCAAGGTGAAGCTGACTTAGAGAACATCTCCTGCCCACTCTGATGAATTCTAGCCAAAAACATTAGGTTCTTTGGGAAGGACAAGGAAGTTGAAGCCTTTGTACTTGGGAGAGTGGCTCTTTCCTCCTGGTTTCACACTGTGGCTTCAAGCAGATGGTTCTGTGGTCAAGTGTCACAGCCACGTTCCTGATTTGAGATAACATTTTGGTTCAAAATTACCCTCAATCCATAAATCTGTTCTTGCTTGTAGTCAGTCTCTTGGATAGAAGTATTAACCAGATGCCGCTTATGAGCTGCAGAAAAAGATTATTTATAAGGGGAGTTCACAGATCACATGATGACACTGCATACTTAAACATTTTGGTCCTCCTCATTGATATGCTTACGGTATTCTCCAATCTATAATTAGAAATTTTTTAGGTATTAAACTTTCAGTATCTGTATGGTTGTTTGAATAATACATACAATAAATGAAATTTAGATTTTTCCTCAGTACTATAAAAAACAAATGATCATGAGCGTGTGCATACACACATGTACACCCCCCAAAAGCAGCAGATTTTTTGAGACAAGCTCTCACTCTGCTACCCAGCCTGGCGTGGAATATAATGATTCCCCTGCCTTGGTTATCACAGGTACATGAAATTATAGGCATGTACCATGATACCCAGCTTCAAGTCTTATTTAAAATTACTTTCTTATCTTAACTGCAGTGATTTTATGCCAATTTTGTAAGTTAGTTTTCTTCAGATGACTTTCTTCATGTATCTTTGACCATGGTTTTTAGATTCATCACAAATTTTTCCTGTTTCTTGGTGCCAGCTTCCCCATGGCTAGTAATTACATGGATTCTTTCACCAGATCTTCCATAGTCCCCATTTCAGGTCAGAATTTATAGGTATCTTGAGACTCATACATCTTGTGATACAGGGCTGTAATGTTCAGTCATGTGTCTTTGCTCAGCTATTGATTATTAGGTTCACCTAGTTCTTCCCAGCTTTCAAGGCTATGATGTTAGGTAAGCCATTAAACCAGGCAGTAGCTTGATTGATTTTAGCTTTTTTTTTGTTCTGGGCATGGAATCCAGGACTTTGAATATGTGCTGCACAACTGAACTAAACCCCCAACCAAGGAGGCGTGCTTGCTGTTTTTGTCTCATGTGGGGTGCTTTGTTTTCTCCTGAACTTGAGACCAGCTCATGTTGCTTCCCAGGTACTGAATCACCAGGGCTTAAGCTTGTGTTGAAGTCACCATCTTACAGTTGATTTTCATTCTTACAGCAAAGAAAGATTTCTCTCATTTTTTACAAAGGGCTATACTTTTTTACTTTCATTTTAAAATGTTCACATATTATTGGTATTCACTCAGATTGAAAGAGTGTGACCTTCAAGAAGTGAGTTTAAAATTCTGTATTAACCTAGAACCCTTTCTCTAGTTATTACACATTTGATTTGGTTTGGTTTAAATTTTTAAGATAAAAACTCAAGTTGTTTTACTTTTGCTGTTTGACTACATAGGATCTTTCAACAGGGCTCAAAAGAGAAGTACAGAGATTAGCATTTCCCATGTAATCTGCATACTATCATAGCAGTGAATTGAGAGTTATACAAATTTGGGATGAAATTTTTATTTTAATCTTTATGGTAGAAACATGTTTAATCCTTTCAAACTTTGGTTTTCCCATATATAAAGTGGGAAAATTGTTTCAAGACATTGGAGTTTTTATGAAATTAAAATTTTTATGAAATCCATACCATAGTACCAGGCTCTTCTAATTGATGGACAATAATCAAAAAACGCAACTCACGCGTAAGTGGGCTATAAATGTATTAGCTGAAAGTTCAGAGTTCGAGTAGGTTTGATTAACCTAATCTAGTTCTCCAGTCATGGTTCCTCGTGTTTCTCTTGGATCTAAGTTTTTCTATATCTACTTCTTTCATATCTTTTCATATATCTATTTGTCAGTCTGGTAGTGACAAAATGACTGTAATCCCTCTGGAACCTGCCTGTACATCACACCATTCTGAAGATAACAGGTGAGAGCCATTCTTAATGGACAGTCTCATTTCTAAGGAAACTGTACCAGTGACTCTGTACCAGTGAATGTGTTATGCAGATTGGCTTAATCCATAGTCCTATTCTTGCAGAAATCTAGGATAACATCTATTTCACTTGTGATAAGCTGTGGGAGAAAAAGAGGAAAATTTTTGGTAAGAGGCTGAAACAGTGACTTGGGAAAGGATCCTAGGATTTTCTTTGTGTGTCCAACTCAAACTGGTTTAAACAATAGAAAAATATATTACCTTATATTGTTGTGGCAAACCCAAGTCTGGGGAAAGGGATGACACTGAGGAAATCAAGAGGCAGTGAACAGCTTTATTTTACACTGCTGGTCTTGGTGGATTAACTTTCAACAAAAGCCAGGCAATGAGTGTCTGTGAGCCTGCATTTTTATACAAGGCATAAGCAGAGATTATAAAGGTGGGGCCGGCCAGCCTGGCAGTTCTCTGATTAGCTAGCAGGTGGGATCATAGGTTCCAGGGCGAGATTATGACCATCAGTTACAAGACTAGATCAGTGATCACAAAGCTTGGTACAATCGTGTTCCACCACACTGTCATGGCTGCAGGGGTCAAGAAAGCAGCCACAAAACCATGAAACAGTTTGGTCACTAGGCAGCTTCAAAAGAACAAGACTTTAAAACAATCTTTCTTGTACAGTTTTTCCTTTCAATATAATAAATAGTTGAAAGGCATGGCCCTCTGATAACACTGAAACTTCCTTGTAGCAGCTCATAAGAGCAAATTATTAATTGAAAACTTAGAAATTTAGAAAATCAGTGTTAAGCTGTTGGTAACTTGATATTAACAAGATGAGAATATTTATGCTACAAAGCTGGCAAAGAATTGAAGTCAGGAATTCCAGCTTGTTTCCCCTTTCAGTCTCCTAAAAGCCAATTTCTGGTACCAGTGGGCAGAAATCAGGGGTGGTGATTCAGTGATTCAGTGGTCTTAGAAACAGAGGATCATTTTTCTAGTGCTTCAGTCTAAGGTATTAACATTGGCTTTAGATTATGGTTGATTTCCTGTAAGGTCATCAAACAACTTTATCAGTGATTTAGCAAAGTGATTTTTTTATGCATATCCAGTAGCAAAAAAAGAAAAAGAAATATCTCTCTTGAGACATAGCTCATACATCTAGCCTTTTAGTATTATTGAGCTAACTTTAGTCATTTTTCTCCCTATGTGGTCTTCAACTAGGATTCACCTCCAGTGGAGTGGAGTTTCTTCTGTTTCACTAGTTGTGAAAAATAGTATCAAAATGAAATTCTATTAGGAAAATGAAAGGATAAAATGGGAAATAGGAAGGAAAAAACTAAAAGATAAATGAATAATGTCCACTCTAAAAGGAAACCAAAAACATGCATTACATGGATTCTCAACATCCCTTAACCAGTTGAATAAGCACTTATTACATGATCCTAGAACAATAAAAATTGGTTGTTATTGGTCTTACTATATTTCAGGATCCTTAAAAAAGGCATAATCA